TTGCATATAGATAGAAAAACACTTTGTGGCACACCCAGGCTTTAATTGCTTCAGGCTTAAGAGTCACTGGCCTTACCATAAGTTTAACAACTAAATGGCCCATTTTTTAAAGTATTTTCTATTTCAGTTCAACAATTCCATCGAATATGACAAATATAACTGACTGGGACGATATGCCCTGTTTTCATGCCTCTGAAGGAACCTTCACTCGTATTGATTGTTACCGAATGGCTCTATTGACATTCTTCGCAGCAATGGGACCTTTTGTCTTCTTTAATGTACAGAAGACAAAATATCTACAGCTGTTTACTTCTGGCATGAGGTGGCTTGGTAATTATTTTTTTTTAATACTGAGTTTTCATTTTTACCATATTATTTCAGTAAAATTTTGACTAAATATAACCTAATAAGTGATTTATATTTAAATAATTAGATTAATTAAGTAATTGTCCAGTAAGATTTCTTACACATGGCCATGTCTGAATTGGCAGGCAGCTTGCTTAACACCTAGGCCCGTATTCTGGAACGTCAATCAAACATCTAGTTTTTAGAGCTGTCAAATATTTTTTCTGTAAGAAGTTTTACATATTTGACAGTGCTTAAGACGATATTGTGACTTGATATGAATTAAAATATGGACCCTAGAGCCATTTCATTCACATGAAATAGAACATATATAACACATAAATGTGTTTGCTTCACTCCATATTGTGTTTAAAATGAAAACATTGGTTAATGTTCTTAATAACCGAAAGCGGACAACTTATATTTTTTCTTCTTCGTGTTCGTTCATTCTTTGTCAATTAAAATAATTAGGAGATATAACCATTTAAAATATTTATAGTATTATTTTATTTTTGCAGCATTCGTCATAATGATATCAATGGCGATACATCTTCTAATCAAACACGGACCTCAAGGGAAGCCGCCAGCTTTCGATTTCACGGGCATGCCCACTTTGTTCGGGGCCTGCGTCTATTCATTCATGTGCCATCATTCCCTTCCTGGCCTAATCAGCCCTATACGCGGCAAAAGCCACCTTGGGCTCCACCTCTCGCTCGATTACATGCTCATAAGCATCTTCTATCTCCTTCTGGCGTTCACGGGCGCGTTCGCGTTCGCAAACCTCAACGATCTTTATACATTAAACTTCGTGCCCACAGATAATGAGAATATTTTTCTAGAAATTGTCGAATACTTTCTCGCTCTATTTCCTGTATTCACTCTCTCTACGAGTTTTCCGATCATTGCTATTACATTGAGGAATAATTTACAAAGTTTGTTTTTGGATACGAGTCGCTTGGAGTCATATAACTTTGTTTTACGGAAATTGATATTTCCAATTGTAGCTGTCGTACCTCCGCTATTACTGACGTATTTCTTGGAGGATATAAGCGTTCTTATTAAGTTTACAGGGTCCTATGCCGGTACGGGGATACAGTATTTGATACCTACGTTTCTTGTGCTCTCTGCTAGACGACATTGCGCTAATTTGTTAGGTTTAGGAGTGGTTAATAGATATAAAAGTCCATTTTCAAATGTATCGTGGGCTGTGTTTGTGCTACTTTGGTCATTTATATGTATAATACTCGTATCTGTAAATATGATTGAAAAACATTTACATCGTTAAAAAACATATTTAATCGTATTTTAAACCTTAAATAGGTTAAACAGTCGTACTCACATTTTACCATTAAAATGTTTTATAGTAAATAAATAATAATACATTTAATGCCGGTAAGGATTGATTACCCCTGAAGTAAAAATACAGCTTTCGATTCTCGAACGGAATAATTTTTTTACTAAATGTCTAAAGTAACTGTAAATTTATATTTACGACTGAGTACGACTGAAAACACACTGTTACTGACTTGGCTGAGTATGTTAAAAATCGTGTTAGAAACGGAGAAGATGAGACGTTACCAATGATTGCCTATTAATCCTTATTCCTCGTAACCAAAGTGATTTAATTAATATTTATATTATATAAATATTATTATTAAAAAAAAACAAATAATTTCGTACAAAAATGTGTTCATTGTTGATTTATGTCTATTGCACAATATATTTTGTCATTATCGCTTTATATTAACTAACTTATGCCCACTCGAAGTTCGCGTGGAATCAATCGTAGTTACATCGTAGATGAACGCAGAAGGGATATTTTTTCCTGTAGATATTGTTCTAACAGCAGTGGCTTGAGCGTGCGAAAACCCTGAGGTCGGCTTTGCACCAATGGATTCTCCCATGTAATTAATAATTACTCGTAAATTCAATCATGGCGAGGAAGCACATCTTCAGAGTCAGGCTGGTCATCTTGTCTTTAAAAGAAAATGTCCAAAGAAACCTTCAATTCGAACCCAAGAACCAAGACAATTGTTGTAGCGGCACTAAATTATTTAGATATTAATATATTTATGTCGATGAGACATTCATTGTTGAAAATATCAAAGTGGCCGAAAATACTTTACTAAGATATGGATGGTATATCAGAGTAAGATTCAGAAGCGAGATTTAGTGTGTCCTGAACTATAAGAGTGTATTAGATTTTACTAATCTCCCTTTAAATTCTAAACAGTACAATAATTTAAAAATAAAATTAGAATTTCGTATTTATGACCGTTTATTCGCGATGTGCTTGTAAACTTTTATGCCAATTAATTAAAACATAAAAAAATTGTTTAATGCTAATTTTATAATCGCTGTAAAATAGTCTAAATATGTGAGATTAATTGTGTACTGATTCCTAGTTCTAATGTTATGGCTTTTATATTTTTTACTAGAACAAATAAGGAATTGTGTTAGAAATGTTATTGGTACAATAATAATTTTCTGTGATAGCGTAACGTTTTGTATATGTATCTATGTAATTGCTAAAGTGACTGATTGATGTATTTATTTTATTCAGAGTATTTTTACAATAAATTTATTTTGTGTGTTTGAAACCAGTTTATTTTGAACCATATAGAACAGACATCGTGCTGAACAATATTAATATAAAATTGGACTTGAAATGCAGCATGAGGTGTGGGAAGGTTGGGCCAAAAGGCAAGTCTACGGTATGATCGTCTTTAAACGATAGGTCAAACAAAAGAGCCTTGTCAACAGTGGCGGATTTATCAGCACGCTGTAAATTTTTAGGGCTGCAAATTTGGGAACCAAAAATAGAAATGGAATAGAAATAAAAAAAATATCTGCATGACGGTTTTCTGATGTATTACAGATCAGAATTTGTCTGCAACAAATTTTGCCGGTTCCATATAATTTCGTAATATTAACGAATCATTGGAAATTCCCGGAACCAGCGTTCATTGTAATTTTTAAATCGTTTTTTCATAGTTCCCAGCATTATAATACAAATATCCGTGTCTGAGCATCTTATCGTAACGTGAGCATGAAAATCAATAAAAAAATAAAAATTTGATCCTACATTTGTAGAAAAAAACGACACTAACAATAGGAAAAACTAAAATGTTGCCTATAGCTAACTTCAGGGTGTCGGTTTTTTGTGAAGGTGTGCGCGTGCATCGTATAAATTTACTCTCTTAATTTTTCCCTAACGCGCCAAAATAAGTATTAAACTTCAAAAAGCGACATAGGCATAGCTATCAAGAAAAAACTATGCGATACATCCGTTCTTCCAGATGTAATACAGCTGCTTGGGCCCTCACAAAAATGCCTAATGTTGCATCTACTACCTATATCATCACTATGACATCATTAAACTTCGACAGTATCTTGATACATAATAAAAAAATTAAAAATATGAATAAATTTTTGTGAATAAATAATAACACCACCACGTCGTTTCTCTTTCCGCACGGACGATATTTTTTTACTGAGATGGAAAAGTTTCAATATTCAATATGTAGTCAAGTTTGGTCCCTACACCAAAGGGAACTAAATCGAAGTTGAAGGAAAGATTCTTATATGTAAGCCGTTTCTTATTTCCCAGCTTTTTTGCTTGTTCGAGGGATGTGAGACGGGGCTAACGTATCCACACAAGAAGCATCTTCTAAGGGATCAACGACATCCCATCCGGCCGCTTGACATCGTCTCTAGCGATGCCTGTTGGCTCTAAAACAGCTGAAACATTTACGGAGGCAAGAGGGCAGCATATGATGTGGCGAGATAAAAGACCGTTTGCACTATTTTGGCAATGGAGGCCATGATGTCCAAAGCTGCTTACTTCAAAGCCACAGACACTTATGGGGAGTACATATGGATTATGGGCACTCCTAATTCTAATAATAATTGGAATTCAGATTAGCAAAGAGGATAATCTCAGCCATACAAATGCGTGTTGACAGATTAAAATTGACACTACTCAAGTCTCCAATGAAATATCGCAAACCGATCACCTTAGAAAATCTAGTTACAATACGGTAATATTTTAATAATAACACTTTAAATACGTGGAAATAGTAATTATACTACATAGAGATACATTTTTAATGGGGCACGGGCTACACTTTTAATGAAGTGCATATGGGCTACATCATTACGGCTTTATCCCAAAAATACAAAAAAACATTTTAATGCAGCACATGGCTGAAAAATGTATATCTCGGCAATATTTCTGCAACAGTACCTATATGACTCATAATTTTGTCTTTACACGGTCTAGGTACATACATGGCTTGGTTTGACTATAGATACCGGCAAACATCTTGAACCAATGTCCTTGCCTGCGCAGAAGCGATTTTTAGGTATCACTGGGAGGGGGGGCCGGGGGCGGCGGGAGTGATTGGTATTTGGATTTTGGTAAATCAGTTGACGTTTGTGTCCCGCGCTGCGCAAACATTCCCCAACTCCCTTATTTAATGTTCAAGGTGTTTGCCGGTATTGGTAGGTAATCGGTACGGGTACCAGCCACACCATTGCACCTATACATTTTGGTGAAAAAATGACCCGCCCGCCGGCCCGGAGCCCCTTAAAAGACGTAAATATTATTAATAGTAAAACAGCTATAGCGGTGGTTTTTACGAAGAAATACAATAATGCCTGTTGCTGAGGGAGGCGATCAATACTCTGTTTGGGTATGATTATTAATTAAAAATATTTAGTTAAATTAATTCACAAAGAAGTTATTTATTATCCTATTTTTAATCAATAAAATGTGCACTTAAAATTTTTAGCTTCTGTGAGTTATAATTTTATTTTGCCTTTAAATAATTATATATCTATTAGTACATAGGCTGCACTAAAAGTATCGGGAATGGAATAATACCACTGTTCCTGTCATATTTAAATCTTTTTAATTGGAAACTCCTTTTTTTAAAATTGAATACCATTTTTTTTAAAAGATTCTCGGTCTTTTCACAAAGTTTTGTCAAACTTGTTTAGTCGTTGAGAATATGGAATTGACTCGAGAAAATTCAAGAGCGATGATTTATTATGACTTTCGAAGTGGTTTATCACAAAAACAGTGTGTTGACCGGATGATTTCTGCATTTGGTGATGAAGCCCCATCCAAAACCACAATTTATCGCTGGTTTGCTGAATTTCAACATGGACGTGTCAAGCTCAGTGATGATCCCCGTCAAGGTCGTCCAAAAACTGCAGTCACCCAAGAAAACGTTGATGCTGTGCGTAAGAAAACGTTGAGGAAGATCGACATGTGACATACCGCGAAATTCAGGCAACTTTAGACATTGGCATGAGTCAAATACAAATAATCTTGCATGAACAATTAGGTGTAAAAAAGTTGTTTTCCCGATGGATACCGCATTCGGTCTGTGAAGAGCTAAAAGCGTCTCGCGTTACTTGGTGCGTCAGAACTCTCGAAAGATTCCACGCAGGATCGTCAAATGCTGTATACAACATCGTATCTGGTGACGAATCCTGGATATACGCGTACGAACCCGAAACAAAAAACCAGTCACGAGTTTGGGTGTTCGAAAATGAGTTAAAGCCAACGAAAATTGTTCGTTCACGGAGTGTTGCAAAAAAATTTGTGGCCACGTTTGTCTCCAAAAACGGCCATGTTGCGACTATTCCTCTTGAGGGACAAGGAACGGTTAATGCAGAATGGTATGCTAGCATTTGTTTGCCACAGGTCGTTTCTGAACTCCGTAAAGAAAACTGCAACCGCTGCATCATCCTCCATCACGACAATGCGAGTTCTCACACCGCGCACAGAATAAAAGAGTTTTTAGAGCAAGAAAACATATAATTATTAGACCATCCGCCGTACAGTCCCGACCTAAGCCCTAATGATTTCTATACTTTCCCTAAAGAATAAATTGCGTGGTCAGAGATTTTCATCACCTGAAGAAGCTGTGGACCCCTACAAAACGGCCATTTTGGAGACCCCAACTTCCGAATGGAATGGTTGCTTCAATTATTGGTTCCATCGTATGAAAAATGTGTCAAATTTCGCGGAGAATACTTCGAAAAGCAATTCATTTTTAAATAGCAATGTTGTGTCACTTCCTTGATTCCCGAAATTTTCAGTGCCGCCCTCGTATTACATTACGGCAAAATCTAAAAATATCATTTTCGATAACATTTTGAACGAAGGTGATTTTCTTATATTATTTTTTGATTTCTGAAGTTTATTTAAAAACTGCCCTTATTATATTCGTCTACAAATTGTAATAATTATGAGTCATTAAATGTATACAATAATATAGAGATATTGTATTACATTTTTATATAAAATATTTTTATCTATTGATTCATAATTTTTTTTTCAGGTGGGATTAATTTACATATTTAACTTAATAGTTGGTACCGGGGGTCTGACTCTACCAGCTGCATTTGCCAGAGCAGGATGGGGCCTAAGCACAATAACTCTTGTATTCCTAGCATTTATGAGTTTTGTGAATGCAACATACGTCATAGAAACTATGGCCTGTGCCAATGCTGTATTCAAATGGAAAAGATTGCAACTTTTAAAGAGGAATAGTGTTAGTTCTTTTTTATAATAGATATTATAACTTTTTTTTTTTTAAAGACGATTCACACCAATTGACCGAGTCCCATGCTAAGCTGGTGAAGCTTGTGTTATGGGTACTAGGCAACGGATATATATACATATTATTGATAGATAGACATATAAATACATAGGTATTTAAACACCCAAGACCTAAGCACAACACCAAATGCTCATCACATCGATGTTCGTCTCAGCCGGGGATCGAACCCGGGACCCATGGATTCGCAGTCAGGGGTACTAACCACTAGACCAATGAGTCGTCATCTACTTAATTAATTAACTAAACTTAATTAAAATGAATAGTATTTTTCTCTTTCAAAAGGTGAAAGGTCATCCATTAAGAAATAAGTATTGTCTTAAGTTACCGGATGCAACTATTATAAATACTGATATAAATATAAATGTCTTTTGTCATTGGATAATGTTACTATTAAATTTATGTTCACATTTTAGATGCAAGATAAAGAAAACTCAGAACAAACTACCTCAAATCCTCCTGAGTATGCAGAGCTTGAAGATTCTGTAGTTTGTGGAGACTCTGAACCTTCACAATATTACAGTCTTGATAAGAGAATTGAGCTAGGGGAAATGGCTAATCTCTTCTTAAGTAAAACTGGACAGACAATGGTCTATTGCATACTATGTGTCTATCTGTATGGGGAGTTGTCAATATATTCTGCTGCTGCTTCCAAGTCTTTGATGCATGTTGTGTGGTATGATTTCTTATATAATATCTCTTAAAGGGTTTTTATAATCCAGAAGTTATATTTAGAAAAATTTATATAGTTCCTGAAGGTAAATAGAGCAAATCTGACCTGCTTACAATAATGATTTTAAAATCGAGACAATATCTATTTCTTGATGTTTGCATATAGATAGAAAAACACTTTGTGGCACACCCAAGCTTTAATTGCCTCAGGCTTAAGAGTCACTGGCCTTACCATAAGTTTAACAACTAAATGGCCCATTTGTTAAAGTATTTTCTATTTCAGTTCAACAGTTCCGTCAAATATGCAAAATATAACAGACGGGCCCTGCTTTCATGACTCTGAAGGGACCTTCACTCGTATTGATTGTTACCGAGTGGCTCTATTGACATTCTTCGCAGCAATGGGACCTTTTGTCTTCTTTAATGTACAGAAGACAAAATACCTACAGCTGTTTACTTCTGGCATGCGGTGGCTTGGTAATTATTTTATTATAATTTTGTTAATACCGAGTTTTCATATTTACCAAGTACAATTAAAATATGAACCCTAGAGCCTTATGGTAGTTTTCTAATTACAGAGCATAATGCGACTCAGTGGGGCACAATGCTGAATTATGCTGGAGCTTAATTGGAACGTGAATTAGTTTTCAAATGCATCAGCAGAGTGCGCTAAGTTCAGTGTTGAAAAAAAAAAGATTCATAGAGTTAGCAACCTCATTATTGTAATTGGTTGATAACTATTTAAGCGTAAATATTTATCAACAATTTTAAGTAATTTAGATTATATCATTAAAAAAAAATTTACGTTTTGAGTAATTTTCTTTACTTTTATTCTCATAATTATAAACAAATAAGATTGTGCCGTCTTCGTCATCTTGATAAAAATGTTCTTTGCCACGAAAACATAGATGAGAAACGACGAAACGAAAGCATTACAAATTTTTCAACAATAAATAATATTACTAACTAATATATAAACAAAATTTTCGATCAATGCCAACTTGTCAATTTTCTGTCACTGAGTTGGTATTGATTGCGAGTATCACGCGAGAGTATTAAGTTTAGATTTCCTAGAAAAGCGGTGCCATTATCCAACGGCCGTAATGTAACGTTGGGTGACGTCACCCATACGTTGTCTATAAATAACATCGGAGTAGGTTTTCTAGAGAACGTTGAGTGTCACCGTTAAGTCAAATAGTGGTGCTGTGATTTGCATGACGGCCGTCATAGCGGTGATAAACATTAGTTCAACGTTTTTCGCGTGTAGCGGTGCCCATATTTAATTAATAATATGAGTGGAAACGTGACTTGGACGAGCGAAAAAGATGTTTTTTTGCATTATGTTAAAAATTAAAGACGGCCGTTATTAACAACCGTAAAATGACGGCCGTTAGTTAACGGTACCGCTTTTCTAGGAAACCTAAGCATTACTTTTGAGAGTGCTCAATTCTGCGAAGCGTTGCTGTAGTTGGAACATTCAACGTTGAGCATTATGCCGCATAATGCGCTCTAGTGCTGTAGGTAATTGGAAAACTACCTGGGACTTCAAATGAAATAGAACTGTATATTATAAGACAGAAATGTGTTTTCCCCACACCATATTGTGCTTAAAAGTAAATTGTTGGTTAAAATTATTTAACCGAAAGTCTTTTTTAAAGTCTGTTTTTTTAAGAATTTTAAGTCGTATTTTATTTTTCCAGCATTCGTCATAATGATATCAATGGCGATACATCTTCTAATCAAACACGGTCCTCAAGGGAAGCCGCCAGCTTTCGATTTCACGGGTATGCCCAATTTGTTCGGGACCTGCGCCTATGTATTCATGTGCCACCATTCCCTCCCTGGCCTAATCAGCCCTATACGAGGCAAAAGTCACCTTGGGCTCCACCTCTCGCTTGATTACATGGTCATTAGCATCTTCTATCTCCTTCTGGCGTTCACGGGCGCGTTCGCGTTCGCAAACCTCAATGATCTTTATACATTAAACTTCGTGCCCACAAATAATGAGAATATTTTTCTAGAAATAGTCGCATACTTTCTCGCTCTTTTTCCTGTATTCACTCTCTCTACAAGTTTTCCGATTATTGCTATTACATTGAGGAATAATTTACAAAGTTTGTTTTTGGATACGAGTCGCTTGGAGTCGTATAACTTTGTTTTACGGAAGTTGATATTTCCAATTGTAGCTGTCGTTCCTCCGCTATTACTGACGTATTTCTTGGAGGATATAAGCGTTCTTATTATGTTCACATGGTCGTATGTTAGTTCGTGGATACAGTATTTGATACCTACCTTTCTTGTGCTCTTTGCTAGACGACATTGCGCTAATTTGTTAGGTTTAGGAGTGGTTAATAGATATAAAAGTCCATTTTCAAATGTATCGTGGGCTGTGTTTGTCCTACTTTGGTCATTTATATGTATAATACTCGGAGCTGTAAATACAATCGAGAAAGATTCAGATCGTGAAACATCATATTTTAACGAAGTTTTTAACTTTAAATAGGTTAAACAGCCGTACTCACATTTAACCATTACATTATCTTTAATAGTAGAACGTTTATAATAATAAATGTAATGCCGGTATTAGGATTAATTAACTAATTCTGGCTCAGTACGTAATCGTACTGTTAGAGTAGTTACCAATAATTGCCTAGTAATTGATTCCTTGTAACCAAAGTGATTATTTATATTTATAAAAAACTAACAATTTCTTACAAAAATGTGTTCATTGTTGATTTATGCATGTCTAATGCACAAGTAGTTTGGATATCTTCGTCTTTATCGCTTATTAACTAACTTATGCTCACGTTACATCGCAGAAGAGCAAAGAAGCTATCTTCTTTCCTGTAGATATAAGATATGGTTATAAGAGCAGTGGCCTAGGAGCTTTAGCGGGCGTAAATCCTGAGGTCGAGGTCGGCTTTGCACCGACGGATTCTCCCATGCAATTTACAATTACTTGTGAATGCAATCATCGCGAGGAAGACATCTTCAGAGTCAGGTCTTTATAAGAAAATGACCAAAGAAACCTTCAAGCCGAAGCCAAGACAAATTTTTCTAGCGGCACTAAATTATTTAGATATTTATATCGATGAGACATTCATTGTTTAAAATATAATATAAATACTAAGAGATGGATGAGATTTCATGGTAAGATTCAGATACGAGATTTAGCGTTAAGTGTGTATTAGATTTCTCTTATTTCTGAATCTCACCATTAAAGTCAAAACAGTACAATAATTTAATAATATTTAGAAATAAAATGAGAATTACGATTTATTATGACGGTTTATTCGCGATGTGATTGTTAATTTCTATGACAATAATTCAAAATATAATAAAATTATTTTAATATAAAATCATTGTGTAAGATAGTCTAAATATGTGAGATTCATTGTGTGTGGATTCCTTGTCAAGTCAAGTTAAGTGAAATCTTTATTGCATCTAGTTCTTATAATGTTATGGCTTTTATATTTTTTACTAGAACAAATAAGGAATTGTGTTAGAAATGTTATTGGTACAATAATAATTTTCTGTGATAGCGTAACTTTTTGTATATAATGTGTCTAATTGGTAAAGTTAAAATAACTTTTGAGTATTTTTATTACACTTTTAAATAAATTCAGAGTGTTTTCACTATAAATTTTTTTGTGTATTTGAAACGAGTTTTTATTTTGAGCCATATAGCACAGATATCGTCATGAACAATATTAATTTGGACTTGCATGAATGTATGGGAAGGTTGGGACAAAAAGTCGCAATTCAAAATCAATAAAAATAACGCTTACTATTCTAGAGGAAAAAATCTATTTTGCCGATTAATTCGTTATAATGCCATCACTCGGCGCATTTCTCTGTTGAATCGTCATCAAATATTTCTATATATTATATTTGGTGGATTCACAAGAATTTAGTCATAATTAAACAGTATTGCTGATTTTAAAAGGTTTTATATAGAAACTGAACTGAGAATCCTCATTTATATAATCTTATTTTGATCATAGCATATTTTGTGCCGGTGTTATGTACTTATATACTTGAGTTTGATAATGGGATCAGTAATATTTTCCTCGTTCCTCTATAACAAAATGGCGGAGAAAATATGCCGAAGTTTCATCGAAAACGTGTTTAATTCGGGTGAAAGCCTAGACTCGGCATACATATATAAAAATTATAACCGAAACCGAAGTCCCAGCTGCAGCAAATTTTTGGATATGTTGTGAAGAAATGTCTAAGCAAAAATTTAAATCCGGTTTAAGAGGCAGATTCGACCAGAGTTTTGACATATTGCTTTTTTAATAGGACTTCTCAGGATGTGACCGACGAAAATACCACTGTTTTCAATACTAAATTACTATTTCATAGATTGTTTGTAATAATTCCGAGCAAGACATTCGAATTGTACTTTCTTTCTGGATCCATTTTGCAGCTTCCAAATTCGATAACTTTTCGCGAATCTACACGTGACTGAACTTTCTGTTATTATCGACGCGCGACGAGTTGAAATTGCGGCAGTCCCGGCGCTCACGAACGGAATGGGTTCCCAAGCCAGGTAGGGATGATTCCCCTTTTATAACGGTCATAATACATACTAGGTATACCACTACAACTATTCCAACCATTAAAAGTCCCTAGATAAAATATTTTTTTCCTACTTTTGGCCAGCTTTTTGGGATTTCAGACCACTGTGCATCAGTTAAATACGAAATGTGTTCCAAACATGATTAGCCGAAGCCGACGATCACGGCATAACAAACTAAATACATTACTACTGCTACTATTTTTTTGCCCTAGCTTTATAATAAAATCTCCCGATCTATGGATTCTGAGATAGTCAAACTGGTAACGATGCGACAACGATGCACTCTAGTAGACCAGCCTTAGCCGTTACGGCTTGCATCAGCATAATGACTGTACTTTGTTACAGCAGGTGGGGGCTGCTCTTCCTCCGCGCCTCCGATTATTTATAAACACTCTAGGGGTAAGGCAGACAAGACCACGTGGATAGTGGGGTGCTCTGATTCGGTTTTGGGTACTTTTTGAATAATTTAAAAATTTTCGGAACCCACTCATTGAAACATGAAGTTAATGTAATGTATGTACATTTGATAAGTAATGGTTAAATTAGGTTCAACTTTAAAATTAACAAATGAGGAAATAATCGATTCGATTCAACTTTAAAAATAACAAATGAGAAAATAATCGATCCGATTAATTTGCCGAGAATGTCACATCACTTATAACCAATAGAAAACGAAAATGTCACATCTCTTATAACCAATAGAAAAGTAGCTAATGGCGGATTGTTTACAAATTTCAATACATTTCACAAAACTTTAAAAAAATTTTTAAATACTCTGACGCATTTCCGGCAGCTAAAATCACTTGGAGGTGTTCCAATCAAGGTCAACGAGACTCCTGCATAATCAGTATCATCAGATTCGCGTGCATCACTCTCACACCCAACCCCTACATATTTTGACATGACTGAGGATCCAAAAACTAACAGACACAGCGCAGCGCAATAATTCTCAGCCACACCCTCAAATACACAGTGTCTCTCATACTTAGGTCTTACACTAATTTTTTTTTATTATATGTAACACTAAGACTACTTCTTTTTCTCTCAAAAATTATTATAAACATTCACCATGTGCCACGGAATCAATGTAATCTAATTATCCACAACACAGGGGCACCCAATAGGGCACACAATAGTGGGAACTAGCGATAGATCAATTTTGTCACAACCATATTTGTGTTATGAATAGTGTTATTATTATTATTTACGACTATACTATTAAAGGATCATCTTAGTAAATTATTGTCTTTTATTGACATAACTTTTACACAAAAACAATTTTTAACCGGATTGAAGTTATGTATTTACAATTATTTGACATAATTTTAAATTTAACGGACGTTTCGCGTGCTTTACAGCGTGCGTGGTCACGGTGACTGAAGACAAAAGGTGTTGAATGTCAAAAAGTATCACAGCTGTAGAAAAAGTTGCATTATCTGTATTTATTTCCCCGGAGTTGGTATCGACTAAAAGATGGAGGGTTTTGGCAGAAATGGCTCACGGTGTCCTCTATTTTCAGCACGCGAAACGTCGGTTAAATTTAAAATTATCGTTGTAAATATTGCATTCAATTGCTGATTGGGAAGGTTAAAAAAACACAGAATGAGGTTGAAGAATTTTATTTATTAATTGTCACTTATCGTGTACACAAGCGACAGAAGCTGTTCATAGCTCAATTGACTTTGGCATGAAGTTACATTACTTTTGTGCAAGCGGTTCGCGGACACCCGCCGATACACTATAAGCTTTAAAAAAAACGAACAAATATCCTCAAAACGGCAATTTTGATCACTGGCTTATCACTTTAATATTGATACATTTGACCCACTGACCACAAAAGGGTATTCCTTGAACATTGGCTAGATTATAGAATCGCTGCGTGTTTAATAACTATGCTTATGAAGAACGCGTTAGATGCGTAATATATATGTTGTTATATTATGAGTAGGACGTTAAAAGCAACCAGTGTTGCTAGCTAAAAATTGCAGATTTCACTCAACGTTTTAATTTATTTTTTGACAAATTGAAAATGATTATAAATCCTCTTTTAATAATTTCTAGTTTTGTATGAATTCAGTCACGATATTTCTTTGAAAAATGTTAAACGGATTTTAATTCTGTTTTTTCGTTCATAGTTTTAAGCTATGAACTGCAATTCATTGTAATTGTATTTCGACATCATTAATCCTTAAAATCGCTATTGATATTGAGTAGAAAAGCGCGTTAAGAAACATTTTTCATACAAATATGTGCGCAAACGTTTAAAACTTGTTGAACTCATGCGGCCTTCTAATAATTTGTTAATGAAAAATCGTAACCATGGTAACATGGTATGGTGAGAGGTAGTAAGTACTACTCTTTTGTAACCAGTAGGTCTTAGTAAAAAAGGCCACGTTATGAGGGTATTAAGTTATAATCTCGATACTAAAACGAATCCCATATTTCATTAATATTACATTTTTTTACACGCACAGCGCATTTTCATTTTTCTCTTTTTACTTATAAATAGAAAATACCTAATCGGGCTTTTATAATAAAAATAGGTAACAAGAGGAACGATAAAGTGGAGTTCATTAATTTAAAAAAGTGGTCACTAATCCAAATTTTCACTTTTACATAGCTGCCCCAAATCCTAGCAAGGGGCACGAGGCATTTAAATAGTTTTAAAACTTAAATAAATTGCGTATAATTTGACTAAATTCATACTTGATCTTGGTAAATTTACCTATGTTTCTATTGTATATTAATATTATAAGGATTTTTAAATAGACGTCCCTTGTTCGGTTTTGGGGCATACATGACATTTCTAATTCTAGTCGAGTGTACTTAAACACGGCTGTTTGCTAATTCTAAAACTAACTTCACAGTCGTAACAAATTCATTAGAAGGCTGAACCGCGTGATATAAGTACTTGCATCAAA